TGTCCTGCCCTGTCCCTCCCTGCTGGAGGTAAGCCCCTGACAGTCGGGGTGAGCCGCATCCTTGTGTGGGTGCTCATGGGGACGCACGGAGGAAAGTCCCTTGCTGAAGGAGCCCACCCAGGGGCTGGAGCGGGCAGCCCCTCCCGCGGGCTGTGCTGTGCTGCCAGCTGCTCCCGGGGAAGGCCCCAGCCAGCCCCTCTGGGCGCCGCACCAGCCCCGCAGGACGCTGGCTCTGGGTCCAGCCCCGCGCCTGGCTGTTTGTTCAGTGCCGGGTCTGGAGCGGAGCAGCGATCGCTGCAGCGCACACAGCTAAGGCTCTCGTCTCCCTTCAACAGTCCAGCGCCTGCCAGTGACCAACTCATTTTAGCCAATATCCCAAAGTAATGAAATTCCAACACCAAAAAAAAAAGGTTTAGACTCTCCCTTCAAACTCATTATAATGAAATGTGACCTCTCACACTCAGTACGGGCGTTCTCATTTACTCTGCCTGTGAGGAGAAGCTGTGAAGAATATTTTAAAAAGCTCTTTTATTTGCCTTTAGAAACCCCAGATTGTCATGCAGACTATTATCTCCTTCAGGGAAAGTTTCTTGTCCCGAAGGTGGTGGCCACTGAGGGCTTTGGGGTGAGTCTGCCTGGCCCGCTGCGGGAGGACAGCAGCTGTGGCCACAGCCCCCCCCCAGCCCTCTGGGTCCCCCACCAGCTGCTGGGCCTCCCAGCCGCCTTCCAATGGCCCTGCAAGCAGGAAAGACGGTTGAAGCACCCCGTCCCCACGCTCCCCACTCCACCTCACAGCTGTGCCTGGCCCAGCGTGTGCCTTCTCCACTGGCCACACAGCAGAAAGGAACGGGGCTCGGTCATCTCTGTCCTGAGCAGAACCACGGTCCGCAAACCTGGCCAGAGGAGGCTGGGCTGGAAGGAAGAGGTGGGAGCAGAGAAAGGGAAGAGAGGGCGACGGGCGGCGCAGCCCATTGCCACGGCTGATGGGCTCGGAGACACATTGCCTAGTTTTTGTGTGTTTTTTCAATTGAGGTGAAATTCATATAACATGAAATTAACCACTTTTAAAGTGTACAATTCAGCCCTGGCCAGTTTGGCTCAGTGGTTAGACCGTCGGCCCGCGAACCAGAGAGGCCTGGGTTCGGTTCCCGCTGAGGGCACGTACCTCCGTTGCAGTTTGTCCCCGGCCCTGGTCGGGGTTGTGTGGGTGGCAGCCACTCGACGTCTTTCTCACATCGATGTCTTTCTCTCTCTTCCTCCCTCTCTCCCTCCTGCCCTATCTGAAGATTAATGCAAAAATGCCCTCGGGTGAGGATAAATAAATAAATAAAGTGTGCAATTCAGTGGCATTTAGTACCTTCACGATATTGTGCAATCACCCCTCTGTCTGTGACAGGCCCTCTCACAGGCACCAGAGAGGTGTTACCGAGCAGCCCCCTGCGTGGGAGGGTGAGGGCTGTCCCCTGCTCGGTTTTTGTCTTCTTTTATTTATTTTTTTATCCTCACCTGAGGACATTTTTCCTATTTGTTCAGATAGAGTGGGAAGGAGAAAGAGGAAGAGAGACAGAGAGAGAAACATCGATGTGAAAGGGACATCGATGTTCTCTGTCATCGATGTTTCTCTCTCTCTCCCCCTCTCCCTTCCTCTCTGTCTAAAATCAATAAAAAAATTTAAGAAACTCCTCTGCCAGATATCTTGGTACAGATTAATATTCAAGGCCCCCTTTTACTTTGCTGTGGCTGTCCCAGAATCTGTGAGAAGCACCTGGCATTTTCTCTTGCCCAGCTCCGAGGCTGCTGGCTTTTCTGTCCAGGCAGTGGGATGAGGCGAGACTGCTCTCTTCCTCCCCTTCCTCCTCTCTGCGTCTTTTAGTTTCTGGGTGATTTAAACTACTCGTTCTCCAGTTCCATTAGGGTTCCTGGCCTCCCTTCCCTTCCCCCTCCTCTGCATTCAGAGCATTACCATTTGCTCTCAAGCCTCCTCGGCTGCGGAGGAGGAGGACTTGCTATTTACAAGCTGGCTGCTGGCTGCCAAACTTTCACCTTGTTTAATTTTTTGGTCCCACTTTCCCTATTTCTCCTGCCCTGGAATTCTTCTAGCTTCTCGCTATCCTGTAACATATTTATAAATAGAAACATTTTCTTCATACCTAAAAGAAAACCCCTTACCCATTGAACAGCCTCTCCCCATTCTCCCTTCCCCCAAACCCTGACGCCACCAATTTCCTTTCTGTTTCTATGGATTTCCTATTCTAGACATTTCCCATCAATGGAATCTCACGATATTTGATGTGTCATGTCTAGTGTCTTTCACTGGGCGTGGTTTTGAAGTTCATCCACAGGGTAGCGTATCTGTACTTCGTCCCTTTTCATGGTGAAGAGGGTCCCGTGCAGGTCCACCGCTGGCCGCTGGTGGGCGCTCCACCTCAGGCTGCGTGAGTGCTGCTGCTGTGAGGGTTCGTGCACACGTGCTCACTTGAAAACCTGCTTTCATGCCTCGGGTGTGTTCCCAGGAATGGAGCTTCGGGGTCACATGGTAACTGTGTGTTTGTGAGGAGCCCCCAAACTGTGTCCCCCAGCAGCTGTACCATTGTATGTTTCCACCAGACTGCCACACCTGAATCCAGTCCTGCCCCTTGGGCAGGTCACTTGTATTCTGTTTAATAGGAGTGTCGACCCCAGGGGTTGTGAAGCTTCGACGAGTTAGCCTGTGCGAAGGGCTTAGAACAGCACCTGCCATGTAACCAGCCGCATAAACGCTCCCTGCTGCTCCCGCCTCTGGGGGGCAGTGCGGGTCACAGCAGGTCAGAGACAGGAGTCTGGGCTGGAAGAGCTGCACCAGCGACATAAAGGAGGCAGGGAACCCCAGTCCAGACAGGCGGGTTGAGCATTGGGGCCACCGCTCCCTTTGAGGGATTCATCTTCTTCAGGGTGCTCCGTGGTCCCTCAGCTCCGTGGTCCCGTGTCTTCGTGGGCAGACCACGCGCCGCACAAGAATGGGGGTTCCGGGTCCTGCGTTCGTGGCCCACTGCCAGCCCCACCCCTTTCAGTCCCCCAGCAGGCAGGAGGCCAGGAGGCCGCCCCCCCACGAAAGCTCCAGGCACAGACTTCTGGGAAACAAGAAACGAGAGCCCCTTTCTCCCTTCCACGTGATGCTAAGAAAAGGCAAACTGGCTTTCAATGGAATGTACTGAACTATCACCAAACATTCTGCCAAATACTATTGTTTCAACTTAGAAAATGAATCTGTGTTTGTCATTCATTACACCTAACTCATCAAAATGTTTTGTGAAAGCTGTTTAAATCACAAGAATCCTTTCCGGAGCCTTCCTGAAACACATGGAAACAAGACCATAGTTCTTTCCCATCGCCTGGCTGGGAAGCTCAGCGTGTGGTGGCCACATCACCAACTTTCAGCCAAGGGTGAACCGTGAAAACCGACAGCGACTGTCACAGTGAGGCCTCGCACTCCTGCGGCACTTTATAACGTGCCCCATGGGCTTCCAAACAGCCTCTGCAGCCATTTGGGAAGGCGATGGCAGGTGCTGTTGCCTCTGTCGCTGGAAAAGACACGGAGACTCGGGACAGCCCAGAGAGGGAGGAGCTGTGCTGGAACCTGGGCTGTGGCCTGTGCGGAGGGAAGAGGCCCCCGGGCACAGGCCAGCAGGAGGAAGCGCTCTGGCCCGGCTGGTGGAGCAGCCCCTGCAGTGTGCCCCCTCGGCTGGGCAGTGCCCCCCGCGGGATGGACTCCACACAACCTCACGGTCACTAGGCCCCTGACCACCTGGGCCTCGTCCTGGTAAACACTGAGGAGGCTGAGGGGCACACTGTAGGCAGACTTCACTGATCGGCTGTATTCCTCTCAGCCAAGGGGCCTGGCACCAAAAAAGGGGCAGGAGCGTGAGCCCTGCTGAGAGCAGATCTGGGAAGGTCAGGCGTCCTCTGGAGGCAAAGGCTCTGGACCCAGGTGGCAAGGACAGGGACCTGCGGGGCTCCCAGTGGGGCGCCAAGTAGCCTGGAGGGAACTGCCGGGGTCTGGCATTGTCGAAGGCCTAGCACCCTCAGCTGCCGGAGGGAATGCCGCCGGGCTAAAGACTGGCAGATGCCACCGGGGACCTGCCCGGCTCCCGGGTTTGCTTCAGCTTCTCCGCCTGCAGTGAGGGTGGGCGTGGGGGGCGGGCTCTGCAGCAGCCGGGGCTGGAAGACAGGAGTGCGTGTGGCCCAGAGAGGGCAGGGTCAGACCCCCAGCGGCACAGCCAGTGATGCTCCGGGACGGGTCAGCTCTGCTGGCTCCCTGAGTTCTTTCCGGTGAGGCCTGGCCCGCTGGTGTTTAACAACGGGACCACCCAGCTGTTCCATGAAAATGAGCTCACCACCCCCAGTAAAGCAAAGGAGTAAAGTGGTTGTCTGCATGGCTCAGAGACGGCGTCGGTCCCTGTGGCACAGTCGTCTGTGTGCTTCCCACCACCCACAGGGCTCTGACGGAGCTGTTGTCACATGCTGGCTTTCGGGCAGCCAGAGCCCCTGGGGCCAGTCTTGGGCCTCAAGGTGACTGCAGTATCCCTTCCAAACGTGGTCATTCCCTAGGACACGAGGAAGGTGACCGGAGGGGCAATAGCACTGGTCCCTGGCCTTGTCTGCTTGTCAGAATCCCCTGGGGAACCCAGGAAAAGCCTGAAAGCCCAGGGCCACCTCCCACCCACTGAATCACAGTCTCTAGGGTGTGTCCCAGGAAATCAAATTGGTAAGAAGCTTCCTTCCCAGGGCACTGGGATGCATCTCGCCCAATGGGAGCCGTGGATCCCCGACCGCCCCGCCTCCCCCATGCCTGTGGAGAAGCAGGCTGCCAGCCGGAGGGCTCTCCCAGCCCCACTCGCTAGTTCCTGAGCTGCTCCTCAGTTCTCCGAAGGGGTCGGGAGCCCCAAAGCCGTGGTACCTTCTTCTGCAGGCGGCAGGCACGCGTGCCCCTCACTCACCTGCCTTTCTCTTCTCTCCTCTAGGACACGCAAGACCAGCCACTGCTACCGCATCACCTACCGCCACATGGAGCGGACCCTGTCCCAGAAGGAGGTGCGGCGCGTCCACCAGGCTGTGCAGGAGGCCGCCGTGCAGCTGCTGGCCGTGGAGGGCCGGTTCTGACCGCCCCTCGGGGCTCTCGGATTTGCTGAGGAAAAATCAGGGTGTTATTTGTGGACTAGGGCATCGCTCACCTTTTGATAAAAGGGTCAGTTTTAGGACTTTCAGAGAATAAAGGATAGCTCTTAAGAAACTGTTGACACTCCATTTGTCTTTTATTTAGGGAAAGGGATGTAAAAACAGGAGCAATAATGTGAGAGTTTCCACTTTCCTTTGGAAATGCTCAGCCTGGTGGTGCTCACTGGTGAATTGGTCCCTGGGTTCCGTTACAGTGGGAGCACGAGGCAGGGTGCTTGCCCAACAGGCTGTCCCGCGTAATGAGGAGCCACACAAAGGACATCAGAAGCTGCACACTGGACCGTTCGAGTCAGCTTCTGTTCCTCTCTTCCTTCTCTTCCTGTCTGTGCCGCACAGGGCAGGCTTCAAACAGGCCGCTAACGAAATGCCCGGGCTCCCCTCCAAAGTGAAGGATCCCGTCTCTGAGCGGGTGAGACGTGGGCTTGCCTTCCACAGACCTGAGTGGCTGGGAGGCAGGCCTCCGGCCCAGGCTCCAGCTGGCACCGTCTGCCCCCTGGAGAGGAAGGGCCGGAGGCCGCCCGGGCTGCAGGCCGCAGAGGGCCGGGTCCCAAGCCCCTGAGAGTTCTGCTTCCGAACCGAGGCCTCCGCGTCGGAGGCGACCTTTAAGGAAGAATGTGGGCTTTGATGTTTCCTTTTCTATCCCAGATGCTTTGTAGTCTGCCTGCTCCTGACCACTTTTAATCATCAGGCCCACCCGGCCTGTGCTGGCGGTGCCGCGCTGGGGTAAATATTTGATGAGGGCTGGCCATTACCAGCCCGCGGTGGGGGTGGGCTCTGCTTCCAAAGGGAAGGGATGGGCTTTCATGTGGTTTCAGGATGTTCTGCATTTGGACTTGTCCCTTGGTTATTAAGAGACGGAAGGAAGCTGTACCCCAAGTCCCACACCCAAGCCTGGATCCAAACTGCTGCTCAGGGTTTGGGGCCCACTGGACGCAGTTCCTCGCGTAGTGGGTGTGAGTGGGCGCGCATAGTGTTCTCCGGAACCGCCCGGTGCTTGCTGGCCAGCAGGCCGGTTCTGGTCCAGTCTGTGCTGTGTTTCCAGGGATCCCTGCGTCCCCAAGGCATTCGACCTGCATTGATATTCTCTAACAAAACGAGCTCGGTGGGTAACACCCAGAAAACCATGGCACCACCCCGTGGCACCACCCGTGGCCGAAACCTGAGCAATGTTTGTCAGATGCCATGTTCGCCGAAGCCAGAGCCTCCGGGCTCACAGCAGGCCTCCGGGGCGTCCTCTCCACCCTCCGTGCCATGGAGTCACTGTCGTCTGAATTCTGCAAATGAGGCAACTGAGCCTAAAGGAGTCACGTCCTGACCAGGAACACAAGCGAGAAGAGGCGGCCTGGCCCTGGGTCTGCCACTTCCAAACTCAGAACTCTAAGGGGCGCTGGGAGGTGACGGGGTCTGCGCCGCCAGTGCCTCGGGCCCCTTTTCTGTGTCCTAAGAACCCCCCCGGGGGGGCAGTGTGATGCCCACCCCCTTCTGCTCGTGGCCGGCACTCAGGCCAAAAGTGGACCCACCCTATCAGGGAGCCAGGAAATGTCCAGCTCTTGACCTTTTCATGTCACTCCCACAGGACAATAAATGGTGGAAAAGAAAAACATGAGAAAGGTCCTTTCATCCTTAAGATGACCAGCACTTTGCAGTTCAAGAACATCCCGCTCCACCTCCGCAGAGCCTGGAGCACCAGGACTACCAGCTCAGCGCTGCAGCCCTGCCACGCCCACTCCGTAAGGGGGCGTGGCTACTGCAGCCCTGTCACGCCCACTCCACAAGGGGGCGTGGCTGCTGCAGCCCTGTCACGCCCACTCCACAAGGGGGCGTGGCTGCCGACGCCAGGCAGGTTGTGGGCGGAGACACCGCGTGTGTGGCCCTGGCCAGAACCCAGCAGTAAGGACGGCCGCTCCCATCAGTATTCAGTGGGGAAGGTGGGCGGGAAATGCCAGACTGGAATGTGCCCTGGAAAGCAGCCACCTCTCCCCCAGTCTGTCCATGAGGACCCTGGGGTCCAAAGGGACAAGATGACTCCCTGAGGACACGGCTAATGGCTGCAGAGGTGGGCTCAGAACAGGGCTTTGTGAGCTGTTCCTGCAGCAGCACACTGAGTTCGCACTCCGAGCTCGTAAGGCTCACTGAGAGCCTGGTCACGCCTGAGGGTCAGAAAGGTTCGGCCTGAGGTTGCAGCCATGTCCTGGAGCTGAGGACCAAGGATGCTCCCGGGCTGGGTGTGGCCTGTCCCCGGGACCAGGCTGTCACATGCCAGCCAGACTGCGGTCAGCAGCACCGGGTGCTCTGAGTGTCATGGCAATGAGGGCTGTGACCGGGGCACCTTGCGGGCTCCGCGGCATCCGTGTGCACCCCTGCCTCTCTCCCTGCTGGGCGGGACCTGCTACCCTGACTCCCATGTGTGCCCTCGAGCTTGTCAGTCCTGAGAGGGGTCAGCGCAGCTCACCACTGCCCAGTGGTGGTCCAGCAATCGAGACATGGAATAGGAACCCCATCAACACGAAACCAGGGAGTGAACTCACAGTGTATGGCAGCCTCGAAATGCCCACACAAAGGCTTCCCTGCCGGGCACCTCTGTGGGCGTCCTCCATTCCCACAGCAGGCTCCACACTGACCACGATCACTCAGAGCACTGAGCAGCGACTAGCCAGGACCACCTGCGCTGCCTCGTCCCCAGGTCACATACGGGCACACTGCAGAGGCACTTCAGGTCCAGTCCCAGACCACCGCCATAAACTAATACTGCAATCAAGCAAATATTGTGATAAATTGATTCACAGGAATATTTGGTTTCCCAGTGCCTATAAAAATTGTGTTTACACTGCATTGTAGTCTGTTAAGTGTGCAATATTATATTTCTACAAAAACCAAAGTGCATACCTTAATTGAAAAATACTTTATTGCTTAAAAATGCTAACAATCATCTGAACCTTCAGAGTGTCACGGTCTTTTCGCTCGAGGGGGGTCTTGACCAGTCTGGTGAAGCGTCAGGGTCTGCAGAGCAGTGACGTGAGGCAAGGGCATGTGGCGCTTACGCCTGTGGTGAGCCAGGCGCAGGGCTGCACATGCCTCCCCTTTAGAGTGGGGCCGCTGTTCCCCATGCGGCAGGTGCAGCCGCGAGAAGGCAGCTCGCTACATCCTTCACCCCACTCAATCCTCAGACCCTGGGGCTGGACCGTTACTATCTCCATGCTCCAGGTGCGAGATTGAGGGGCTCAAGGAGGTGTTGCAGAGTCAGAACTAGAGGAGGTCCTTTTGCTTCCAGCCTCCCGGGCACTAGGCCTGCTGTAGCCAAGGCTCAGGCTGCATGGCCCAGGCCGTGGCCACCAGTGTGGTGGAGACAGCGCAGCGTGGGCCCCGACCTCCAGGGCAGCAGCACAGCCACCGACGAGCACAGGGCCCCTCCACACAGGGCTGAGGCACGTGACGTGGGCCTGGGGACCAGCTTTGGCGCGTTCGGTGTCAAAACCATCAGAAGCTCTTTATTGTCTGTCTGAGGCTCAGGGTAGTCAACAGACTTCCACTGCAAGCATCCCTGTGTCAGGACGGCCAGCCAGCGCTGAGTGACAGGGACGCTGAAAACAACCTAGGACCCTGCAAGGGCAGCGAGGTTTCAGGGGTGTGTCCTGACTCAGTTACTCAAGACGGTGTTAACTGGGAGGTTTCTAGGGGGCCCCTGGACCCAGAAATGCCCCCTTGCTTTAAAAGTTAAAAAAAAAAAAAAAAAAGCAAAAAGCAAACACATGCACACACAAAGGCAAGTCAGAACCTGTTCCAAGGCAGAACTGGCCTCTGGGCCCTGCCCACTGCTGGGCCCACGGCTGCTCTCAGGAGGGAGGGCAGGGAGCCCTCGGAGCCTGGACCACGAGGCTGAGCTGAGGTCCGAGGCGAAACCCAGCTCTTCAGGGACTGTCGTCTGGCATCCCTGAGGCCTAATTTCCTTTGCTCCACAGTGGAGGTGAGGGCCCTGCCCTTCCTGGCTGGACGAGTGCGAACGGTCAGCAGAGAAGGAAGATCGCGGTGAACTCTCCGGCGTCTCAGCCTCACGGAGCCTCCGGCAGCTGACCGAGCACATGAGGCTCCTGCGGAGCTGAGCCGGGGAGCCAGCGTCCTGCCGCCAGTGGTGCAGAGCTGGGATTCGGGGCCTTGGCCTCCCCACTGTGCCATGTGTCTGCCACTATGGGGACGGCTGGCGACTGGAGGACGGCGCACTGTCCTCGGGAGGGACACGGGGCCTCCAGGGCCCGCTCGCGTGTGTGTCCACGCGGGTGGAAGCCTGGAAGAGGGCTTGGCATCCTCACATCAGGACGGCGAAGGGAGGCCAGCCAGGCACATTGGGTTAGACTGGGGACATCGAGAGGGCACATGAGGCTGGTTGGACCCCACCGGGCTCTAAGAGAAAATCAGTGTGATACCCCTGAGGCGCACGCCCCGCCCCGCCCCGCCCCACCCCGCCCCGGGCTGCTGGGGCTCAGGGCAGGCCAGCTGCAGCCCCGCAGCCGCTCACTGGCCCAATCAAGGATGTCAGCACGCAGGGGTGTGAGCTCGACGTTATTACAGAGGAAACTTTGAAATCTATTTTAACAGCTTCTCTATCAAGAGTGAGTCATTGGAAGTTGTCTAGCTATACTTTATTATCAATAAGAACTTACATGGTGCCAAAGCAATTCAACGGAGACATGGACGTCTTCTCAGCAAATGGTGCCGGAACAGTCGGAGAACCACAGCACAGAGAGAGACCCCCGACCCACCTGGCGCCACACGAACATTAACTCAAGATGGAGCACAGACCCCAACAAAACCAAAATGTGTCATAGGCTTAAAGAAGCAGACAGAGGGGCTGTTTTTCCAGTGTGGGTAAGCAATGATTTCTTAGGACAGAGGAAGAGCCAGTAAGAAAAAAATGACAAATTGGACTTTTTCTACTCTGAAACACACCAAGAAAATGAACGGGCAAACCGCAGTTTAGAAGAAAATATTTGTGACACATATTTGATAAAGGATGTCTACCCAGAATATACAGAGAATTCCTATAATTCAGTA